GGCGGCGGCGGCGCTGGGATGGCGGTGGACGCGCGGCGGCTGGAGGGGCTGAGCCTGCAGGAGCTCAGCGCGCTGCTGGACGACGAGGGGCGGCTGCAGGACATGGCCCGCGATATGGAGGAGGTGAGGGGCGGCGGCCGCGCTCGGCCTGAGGCCTCCGGCCTCCCCTTCCCCGCAGCGCCTCGGGCCCGGCTCGACCCCCTCCCGCGGCCCCCCCGGTGGCGCAGGTGCCTCTCGGTGCCCGGACCCTCTCCCCGGGCCGGTTCTCCTGGAGGGGGGGCCGGTGCCCAGACCGCGCGTCCCGATCCGGAGCGCTCGGAGAGGGGGAGGCTGGAAACGGGCCTGGACGGGGCGCCCCCGAGGGGCCCCATCGGCCTCGCCGTTAATGCGGCCCTTGTTCTGCTCCCGAGCCCGGGCGAGGGGTGAAGTCGGCCCTGCCCGTGGTCCCAGCCCCAATTCAAGGCGACAAGAAAGAGATTTCTGTGTGTGTGTGTCCCCCACTCCCCCTAAATAAGTTTTATATTGAGGGGAAAAAAAAAAAAAAAAAGAATTCTTTGTCAGTGTATTAGCCTTGGCAGCGCGCGTTTGGGTCTGCGCTTATTCGAACAAAGTGGCAGCCTGTTCTCCCTCCGCTGCTGTGATTGCTGCTGGTTTCAGCCCTGCTCTGTGACCTGCTGCTGTAGTTTCGCTATGAGACACGCACAGGTTCGGGCGACCACAAGGATCCCTGGAAGGGCGCGCTTGGGTAGTAAAGTGAAATGAAACCACTTAAATAAGAACTTCAAAAGGAAAATAACATTAAAAAAAAAAAGACCGCTCTCTGGCTGTTGGTTTTTTTTGGTGTTCTTTTGACTCTAGATGACAAAAGTCTCATGGGGAAAACGTGACAATATGTTTTTGAGAGAGAGAAAAAAAAAAAGCTTAGTTTATTATAAAGGAAAAGCATTTTTTTAATTGCTTTGTGTGAAACTGTGTTGCTTGTTGCCCTTGTGGTGCTCTCAAATCGTTCTGGATTGTCTCGGACCAGGTTGGTGAAGTACTGCTCATGAGGAGTACATATTGTCCCGTTAAAGGGTAAGAAGGTGTCCTAAAGAAGTTACTTGTTGCATAAGGTGGCATCTGTATTTTGTACTATGTGTTTGAATAGAYTTGGAAGACGTTGTCAGACATACCAGCTTCTCCCTGAGAGGTTGTATTTTGAGAATTTAAATAAGTAAAGAGGCAATTGCTGCTGTAATAAGGACAATACATAAGATCACTGCAGCTGTACAGAGTTGGTGGCAGACAGCCTTATAAAACGAGACTAAATAGTTAAGCAAAATCAATAAGTTATAATGGGCTTCGCTTTGAAAAAGGTATAAATAGGTGCAGCCTTGCCAGTCTGGCAAGGTGTGTCAGTAGATGACTTGGTTCAGTGGTTTATTTTATTTACTTTTTTGTCAACACACACTTAATACTGCAGGTCAAAAGAAGCTGGAAACGTTTCTGACCATAGAGAAGGTTCCCTGTCCTTGTGACACCAGACTGTATTCTCCGTTTGACCCTCAGGTTTTCCTCCTCCGTTGGCAGCAGAAGACTTTGAAATTGTAAAGTTCTCCAGGCCCGAGGGAATATTTTGTGGTGTTTGGAAAGAGTGGCTAGGTTTGAAGGTATTCAAGCTGTGTGGAAATACAGCTAGGCTGCTGTCTGCTATAATCCCTTTTTTATTGTGTACAGAGGCTTTTCCTAGAGTCTGTTCAACTAGCAATGTATTTACCCTTCCTGGAGTTGGCCATGCTCAAATATTTCTTTCTCATTCTGGTTTCGCCTTCCCTGGGTTGTTTACTTTGTTTTGCACAACTGGGTCCTGACTTTTGACTAGGAAGTAAGAGGCAGGAAGAAGGAGAGAGGAAAATCCTGAATGTTAAGGAGAAACCATAGTTACTTCACTAGTACTTTAAGTAGCTCTTTGGTTGTCTGTCAGGCCATATGTATCTAGATTGTAGGATTAGTCCAAAGTCCCTAAAATTAGCAATTTTACTGTGGGATGCTGATTAATCATGATTCCTTAGTCACTCCTCTGAGCTCACTGTTATTTTCAGCAAAATTGGCTAAAGCTGATTATTCCATAATCGAAGAAAATCTTTATTTGCCTTGTTGCAAGGGAAGCCCTGCTCAGAAAACAGTATTTTGTTCACAGAGAGGAGGATTTTAGAAAACCACTTGGCTTTGTTGTTAATAACTAAAAATAGGCAGCTTCCAGCCTTAAGGGGAATGGATTCCTGTGCTGCCTCTGAACAAGCTTTTCAGTGTTGCTAAGTGTATAAATACATACATGTATGTGTGTATACTGCATATCTATTGCACTATAATATAGTGTCCTTCATGCTGTAACTCCAGGTATGTGAAAATGTGGCATCAAAGAGCTAAGCTGCTTTCTGTCTGTAAGGTTGTTTTTGAAGCCTCTAGGTTTTCAGAGCTTGAACAACGAACATCTTGTCTGTTAGGAAGAGGAAGGAAGCCAGTTGTCTGGTACCGCTAGTCTTTCAAAACCGAGGAGTTATTTTGATAATCCCTTGAGGTTTATCCATTTAGTACATCCACAGTATCCATCCTCATGAAATAAAGGTTCATTGTCTGTAATATAAAATCATGATAATTCAAAATGGCAAAGATAAGAGGATTCATGACCTGACACTGACAGTAGATCCATGAGTTTGTCTTGTGAGAGTGAGTTTTCTCTTGGTCTGTGTACTGTAGCATCACTGTAGCAACAGTGAAACATTGTGCTATTGACTCTGAAGTTCTATTACCAACAATTATTTGCTCTTGAATGCCTTAATTACATGAAATCAAGACGTCAAAAATGCGCTGCTTTCTCATTGCAGGATTTGAAAGCACGCTGGCAAGCGCAGCAGGGCTTTTTGAGTGTAGTTCTTCTCTCAAAACTGTTTGACAGGAATGGGCAGTGCAGAAAGTCCAAGTTTGAGCTATGTGAATGCGTGCCCAGATTTCTTGGATTCCTGATCTTGTCCTAAAACCACATTGTGTAAGTGGTTATGTTCTTCTCTGCCAAACATGAAATTTAGTCACAAAGTTAGGAATTAGCCTTGGTGACAACTATAGCATTTTCTTTTTCAGTTAAGCATTGAATGAATAACCTGCCTGTATCTAATGAACATACGTTGTTTTTCTGTATGGTGCTTTCCTCTAATATAAACACTTAGGAATTGCAATTTACCTTTTAACCTTTATTTTGTAATTCTTAAAAGTAGTACTTATGTAATTAGAAGACCTAAAATTACACCCTCGCAGTAAGACTGCGTATTTTATTCCTAATTTACAAGTATGTGATGTAAGTGAAAGAGAGAATGTGAGAATGATGGAGGCTAGGGAAGAGCAGAGAAACCTAAAGCAGCAGTGTGGATTACGCTATATATAAAGCTATTAAAATAGTGCAGTTTAGAACTCTATTTTTTAATTTATTTATAGCTACTTAAGGGATCTTTTCGTGAAAACACTGATAGGCTTCTTGCTGTAGTGCTTGCCAAGGCAGACTCATAATTATAGCAGCGTTTGATGGACTTTGCGGGTAGCTGGGATTAGTGGTGCTCAGACTGTATCTTGGAGGCATCTCATCTGGAATTGTTCTTTTGGGAACAGGTGCTTTTAGATAACAGRAGCAGCGCTGCTCAGCATCATCTTGCACAAATCCCTCTTGCTGGATATCTGCTGTGAACTATTATTTTGGAACACTCAATAAAGATAAAAACTGCTAAGCCATCACTAGCTTCCTTTTTTAACTTATCCAGCATTTTTCTTCCTTTCACCCCTAGAAGTGGGGTGAAACAAAACTGCAGTTCATAAAAGTTGTAGGATATGARTTCCCTGAAGCAGTTGCTGCTGTCTGTGCTTTTCTTGGAACTGTTTATTTAATCTGTCCTTGATAAAACTCTTCATACTTCTTTTAACAAGATGCATTTTTTAACCATCTTAAACTTTGAAGTGCTGCATAAGCTGTTTTTTTTTTTGTCTTTATTAAGATGTGTATGACTGTGGCTTCATGTTCGTGCTATGTGCACAGCTTGGTTTGAGCGGTCTGCTCAGTGTTAAGCAATCCTTCAACCGTTAAAATCCATTTCTAAGCATCTCAGTACTGTTGTTGCCATGTTTGTCACATTCATAATTCATAGTGAAAGCTTCGCAGTTTAAAAAAAAATGCTTATGTTCTCTGTAATATCACCCTGTCTTGTATGTCTCGTGATTCTGACTGGTACTTTTCATCTGTTCTCAGACAGAAGTTTCCTGCCTGTGAAAGTGCTCCTGACCTATGACCATGGTCTTGAGAGCAAATCTGCAGAAGAGCTCTGTGCTGTTTGCATATTTCTAGTGGTAAATTTTTTCCCCCACTGTGTTGCCATCAGTCAGGTGGGCCTCTGGCGCTAGCAGTTCCCCACCAATACACGTTTTTGTCATATAACACGTGACAATAAAATAACACTTATCAGATGTACTCCTTGCTTGATTGGTTGTAGTTGATGAATTACTGCTGCCTCAGGCTTGTGACAGGCTGTATATGGGTGCTGAAAGGATACATTATGATGCATTGGTATTTTTAATAACCAGTCCTGCTGTACTGTATCTTTGCCCCTTGGATGATTTTGTAATTGCTCTTTYTTTTTTTTTTTTTTTTTTCCTCTTTAAATCTTAAGTGAGTCAGCAAGTTTTGAAAGTTTCTTTTAGGGCCTTTTAGGATAACTTAACTGCGTTGGCTTTATGATTCCTTGATTTGACTCCTAAGTGCAGTGGAGCAATTGCAAAAGAGTTACTCTGCTGTGCAATTATTACTTGCTCTTTTTTGTTACAAAATAAAACTTACTGATTCCACAAAGTTCAACCTTTTAATGCATTGAAGCATTTAAATATCCCAAATATGTTTTTTTTTCAGTGTCATTTTTTCTTTTTCTGGAAACCTCTCTCTTCTTATGCCTTCACGATGAATTTCTCATCTGTTCATCTGCTCTCCCCCCCACCCCCTTTTTTTTAGGAATTTGGGAATAACTTTTGATTTGATCACTAAATGTCTTTTTTTTTTTTCTTTCAATTCTGTACAAAGATATGTCAGTAAAATCATAACGGAATTTAGACATTCGTTTCCTCCTTTGCTGCCATAATCTTGCAGAGGGATGTGGTGGTACTTGAGTGAGGAGAGTTGGGTCATGTGCCCAGGATTGAAGAGGGAGGTGCTACCATGGTCACTTCTCCAAAACATGTATTCCTGTTTGTCTGATTAAGATGCGTAATTTTTCTGTTATGAGAATCAACTGCCTAATTTGCAAGTTAGTTGCYGGAAAATGGAGAAAAAATGTGAGTTTTAGCCTTCCCTTGTACTGCAGGTATATTTCCTGTTCACTGAAGCAAGGAAATATTGCCTGGAGTTTGGAAAATCCTGTTAACCAAACGAAAACTGTTAAAAGGGTGAAGCCCAGTGCAATGATTAGAGCTTTGTCTGATGTCAAAAACTGTTATTTGAGAAGCAGTTTCACATTCTCATCTTGCTTCTGAAAGGCTTTTCTGTCATTCAGTCTTTTTCCCCAAGTTCTTTGGTCTCTTCCTCATTACATATGATGAGAGTTAAATACTGCTTTTTGGTTTTGCACTCGTGAAATGTTTATAGATTTGTGTATCCCTCATTCCACAAGGTTTTTCTTCTCTAGAGRAAAGGTAGATACATGTTCTTCATCCTGAAGAAAGATCAAAGTCCACTCATAAAACTGGTCTTCCCAGACTGACTGGGCAACTACTTTGAAATGAGAACGTCAACCCTACAAGCACTGAAAATGTAGTCACCAGGTAAAATTGCAAGTTGCTCAAAGAACGTAGTTTTCTCATAAAATTGGGAAGGAGGAGAGACATCACAAATTGTTATTTGGAAAATGTTTACCTGATGCACCTAATCTTGTGCTCAGACTGCCCRTGATCATGGCCCTTTTTTAGGGGAACTTTAGTGGCTTGTGGAGATTTCCTGCTTTCTGTTTTTGAAGGGTGGCTCCACTATATCTAAGCACAAGTGCAAAAGGAAGAAAACAGTGTACTGTTCATGTGTGCAYTGAACTAAGTGAAACTATGCTCAAATAAAACCTATTCTATCTAAACAGTCATCACGGGCAAGAACAGAGCAGGCTAGTGCTGAAGGTCACRGAAAGTATATAAAATCTTTCATTGAGTTCTAAGGCAATTTAATACACTCAGTCTGTCACRCCATGGGAACAGCATCTTGTGTGTCGATTCAGGCTAAAAATCTGAGATCAGATCCCTTGTGTCTTTCTCCTTTTGATGTTAGAAGCTTTCAGTGACTCTAGTGTGACATCCAGGGCAGCTTTCTTCAAATGTTCAGCTTTGTAAAGTTCATGGCTTTATGAGATTGTGAGCGCATGTGTATGTATGAGCAAACTTGCCTGCAGTGGCTCTGTGAGACTTGTCATTTGTTCTTTAATAACGCTGTCTTCAGGCTAAGCAGAAGGATTAAATTGGAAAAACAGGCTTTTGGCATGAAGTCAGGACTGATTTAACATAATTCTGGAAGAATATTCTGGAGAAGGAACCACAATGAGGTCTTTTTGATTTTATTTTGCATTTTTGTAAAGCAAAAGAGGATACATTTTGCAGTCTGGTTGCATGTTGTTGCAGGAATTCAAAGATTTTTGCTCTATCTGTCGATACTCACGGTATGGGAGTAATGGTTAGGACAGGGCATGAGATAGAGATGAAGAAGCCACTAGGTTAAATAATGGGAGAAATTTTATACAGAACACGTTGTAGTAACAGGCCATGAATATCAAACTGTGAGCTCACAAAGCTGYGATTTAACCAGCCGGGCAGATCTTAAGTAAATTAGTGACAGGGCTTAGAAGAAAATCAGGTGACACAAATGTCAGTCCTCTGGCACGTAGCAGAAATGTTTAAATGAGCATCTGGTGACTGATTTTTCCCTGGAGAGCCTCTACCATCCTGACAAGGTGAAATAGGCTCCTTGGGACAGTTTCCCTGAGCAGGACATCGGTTTCTGCCGGCGTCTCATAAAAGCTTTTGTTTCTGCAAAATCATTTGCTGATCCTTCCACTTCTGGTCAAAGGAGAAGAGGTTCGGAGGGATCCTTTCCTGCAACACAAACTTCAAAAATTTGCAATAAAAATGACTATAACTTCTAGCTTTGGCAAGGTGTGGGGGGGAAAGAAGTAGTTTGAGCTCTGTCTGCTGAGTGTGAGAAAAAACAGTACTTTCCTCTGTCCCAAAATGGTTAATTCACAGGTGTTCATCTTTCAAAAGAGTTCTGTGTGCTCATATTTTCCTGTGTTTCCGTAGGTCTAATACAGTAGCACTGGTATTTGCAGAAAACCTACTTTTGTTTATTTAGCAGTTTTGATGTTCTTGTGTTGTCTGCATGAGGATTAATCTTGTTCAGTATTATCAGTGTCATTTCACATACCTCTCTTTTGCAGGCCCAAAATGTTCAGCACAGCAAGGACATGACTCTTGCCAGCAACCGCAGTCTGGCAGAAGGGAATCTTCTGTACCAGCCAAGGCTGGAGTCTTTGAAAGCAAATTTGACTCAAAAATATCAAGAGCTGCAAGTCATTTTTGAAGTATATCAGATAAAGAAAACGAAACTGGGTAATCTTCCATTGAAGATTCTTATTTGCTGTTTTCTGAGCAAATACAAGTGTTTATTTATATAAATGAAACGCTTTGTTTTCTGTTTCTTGTACTTAGCTATGTGAATTTGGCGTACAAAATAAAATGTCATTCTTGAGTAGTTCTGAAGTAGATCAGGCTTCTGCTGATTTCTAAAGTACATTAGGCCGCATACCTTGAATTCTTTATATTAGTCACGTGCCTACATAGTTATTGCTGGCCTCCTGTTCTTTAGGTGGTTAAACTTGTCTAATATAACAAGCAAAATCTAGTCTGAATTTTCAATGATTAGTCATAASTCAAACATAATCTCACATCTAATTGATTCATTTCATACCAAGTTATGAAATGTTATGTGTTTTATACTGCATATGCTGAAGTACTTTGGTTTTCACTGTTTTAATGTATAATTAGAATTAAATTTCAGCTTYGGCACTGGGCAAAATTGCTGAAATTCTTAAAAGATAGACTTTTCTCATTATAAATCACTCTGTCTAGAATATGCTGACTGTACGTGTGTGCCTTGCGAGACTAYTTATGCTTGCTGAAGCTGTGTAGCTTCAGCTGGCAAGTTGTTTACAGTGTTATTTACTGTTATTTTCATGTCATTACAGACAGCCAGTCCAGCAATGCTTCACTGGAGACACTGTTAGCCCTGCTTCAGACAGAGGGGGCAAAGATTGAGGAAGACACAGAGGTAATGACTGAATGCTTCAGTTTGCAATTTATATCCTCATCAGGGACTGGGCACCGAATGTACATAACTGCAATATACTGTTCAGCATGTAATGGGGTTGTTATTTGGTCTGGTCTTTCCTTTGAACTTCAAACAACRGTCACTTGATTTCAGTGAGGGTTTTTTGAGTATTTTTTTTCTCAGATAGTCTTAACATCTTTGAAGTTTTTTTTTTTAAAAGAAAAAGCTACTTAGAGAAGAAGCCAAACTGTCTTAGTTGTTTTGCATTGCCTTCGAATCAATAGTGGTAACCTTTCTAATGGTGTTTGCCTAGTGTATATATATTAATCCCTTACAAATGTCAGTCGCATAACAAAGAACTGTAGGTATGTGCTGCTCATGACTGCCTTTGCTGCAGATGCAGTGGAATATTCCACACTAATTTCAGCATAGCTTTCTGGGTGCCTCTGGTGGCCCCTCACTGTGCTAGTGGCACTTGAAAGGTGACCTGCTTGGGGATAACAGACATAGTTTTGTTTGCTGATTCCCTTGTAGAACACTTTCTATAACTACATAGCTTGTTAGCATCAGGAAGAAAAAGCTGCTTGTCTGCCCCAAGTTTGACATTACAAAAAGATATTTTCAGGACAAGTTGAATTTTGTCACTGTATGTGTGGTCACTTCTCTTGATTATTAAAATAGCATTTACCCAAAGCTTTGCTTTACTACAAGTGAGGGTGAGTATTACACCTGGCTTAGCAATAATCTGCCTGTACTGAGGCTTGCAGKGCTCTAACTGTTTCTGTTGACATTATAAGTAGCACTGAACTGTAATTCAGCTTAGCTGGTGATCAGGAAAGCTGTTCGACTTGATTCTTTCCCGTGTCTGATGACTGGGGAAATGTCCATAGCTAGATTCAGATGTTCTTGCTGCTTTTATGTTAGCAAAATTTTAAGCAGAAAATGATGTTTAAGTCCTAATGCTTATGAGAAATTACAAATTCAAAATTCTGCTTGAAATTGTTAGTATGTCAGTTGTCCTCCATATCCAAACTGGAAAATCACAAGCAAAGTTATGCTATTTTAGGATATAAGCCACTTAGATTCCCATGGAGTGCGTTGTTTTCTAAGAGTTTGTTTGATATTTGACAGAACATGGCAGAGAAGTTTCTCGATGGAGAAATACCACTGGATTCCTTTATTGATGAGTACCAGAGCAAGCGTAAACTGGCTCACCTGCGGCGTGTAAAGATTGAGAAGCTCCAAGAGATGGTGCTGAAGGGACAGAGACTTCCACAAGCGCAGCCGCAGGCTCAGCCAAGAGCACCTGAGACAACACCAGCACCTCAAGCTTCCTACACTTCGGATGCAACCAGCCCTCCTTCAGTGATGCCCCGACGAATACCACCCCCTCCACCTTCCTCGGTCCCAGCAGGACGTTTTCCTACTCCTTTTACTGTAGCCATGAGTTCAGGACCAGCTGTTTCTTATCCGGGTGCTCCCTATCCTCCTCTCCCGCCTCGACTAGGAGTCCAGTCTGCAGGTCAAATGCCGCAGCCGGGATACCCATCTCAGTTTGTACCACAGTATCCTCCAGCTCTTCCCCAAAGACCACCTCGCCTTCCACCACATCCTGGCTTTATCCTCCAGTGAATATTTTGGTGCGCCTAACTTGTGTATTGGTGCTCATATTCCCTTTCTTCTCCCCTCGTCAGAGACTTAAAACGTAGGCATTGGAAAGCCTCTGTTTTTTGCACAATGGAATACAAAATCCGAGCTGTGGCACGGAGGTTTGAAATTGCATTCAGTAAATGTGATCRTTTTTGTTTTCAAGTATCAGTGATAATGCTTTCTTGTTTTGCTTCCTAGAAGGTGATAGGGGCTCAATGTTGTGAATCCAATAGATTGTGAAACAATGTACAGTGGATTTACTCTGCATTATAAATATCTCCTCGAATTCTTTAGTGATGGTAAAATAGCATTGTCTTTGATGCATTCCCATCACAGCTGGATGTATGTGTGACAAACTGGGAGGTATTTGTGTGGCTCAAGAATTCTCTGTGGGTGCTGGTGTTTGGATGGCAACAGCCCTGTCTGTATGCTGGACACAGAGGTGGCAGTGGAGCTCAGTGCCCTGTGCACGGTGCCCGGGCAGCTGCTTCGGTGGCAAGGTGCACAGCCTTTCCTGAGCCCATTGAGCACACACAGCTCTGGAGTTTTTAAACAGTAGACGTTACAAGAGTTTTATTCCTACATTTCAGTWGTTACCGTGGATTTTCATAATAAAAGTACTCATTCTTCCCTTTCATAGATCACCCTATAGCTCAAAAGACCTGGTCTCTCAAAAATTAAGCTAAACTGTTTGTAGTGACAGTTTAAAGTTTTATAGACATTTTAACTAGGCATTTTTTCCTTGCCTATTGTAACTATTTCTTACATTTTTTTTTCCTTTTCCACACCTTTGATATAGAAGTCTTTTTTGATTCAACACAGGTGCTTAGCGTTTGATATCATACGATTCCAGAAATCTAGGCAGGGTATTTTCTTACTCAAAACCAGGGTTTTCATATCATTAATAGCCCACTTGAAGCTCCACAGTTTTGTTTTATTCTTCAAACTCCATCTCTTGTTTGGGAGAACTATTTTTAACTTTCCCATTTCGTTTAGGTTTGCAAAGTTTGGCACACTTGCCTGTCTGGAATTTGCAATTCACACTTCTCTGCAAGCAGTAAGAACAATTTTTAGAACTCCATGGTGCTATTTGCATCCTAATCCAGTTTTGTTTTTGTTTGTTTTATGCCATTGGAGGGGAGGAGACTTTTTAGGAGAGTTCAGATTTCATTATCAGTGTAACTCTTGAAGCCTAAGGTGCAGAAGCTTGTTACTTGCTCAGAATATGTCCATAAATTCATTATCATTTKTGTCACATCCACAACTAACTTTTGCCTTTCAACTAATTGATAGTAATTTAAGGAACATGCATGTGTAATCTGTCAGTATTCTCTGCATTGCTTCAAAACACTTTCTTGTCGTTGTCCTGGACTGCACTGCTTTGTGTGGAAGTCCATACTGCAAACAGCCTCAGTCAAAACAGAAAATGAAATTTCTTTTTTTTTTCCCTCTCTGTGTAAAACCCTTGATTGTCCATGTATCATTTCCTCTGGAGTGTGATGATTGCTAACAAATACTAATCTGAAATGTATCTCATAGCAGGAAGCTCCTTATTCTGAAGATAGGGTTATTTGGCATATTTTGCCTTCTGAAGACAAAGGGTAGAAGGTTGGTCAGCGTTCCTGGCATCCCAACCGATTCCCTACTGCAGGTCTGGAAAGTTTCTATGGAAGGGGCGCTTGTGAAACAGTGTGCATTGGATTTGTCTGCAAAGTGTTTTTTATTTTCTGTAATCTAGTGATGGTACAGGATGTGTGTTTTAAAATAGTATAATATCTTTCCTTGGTATTATTTTCTCATTGAGGCTTAGTATAAGCATGGTTAATTATTAATTGTTTCAAAATAACTTTGCTGTGCTCTTGGTGCTGGTATTTGGATGGCAACTGTTGTATTTGAATGCTAAACATAAATCTGCTGTAAAGATTTGTCTTAGAAATAAAAGTGGGTGGGGCTGCAAGGGTCATGATCAAGTTCCTAAGTCTGTACTTGGGGCCTCCTACACACAAACTCAAACACTCAAATTAGTTTTGCTAACGTTTCATAAGAGCAACCAGGTATATTTTACACTTATTAAGCGCCAGCTATTTTTCTGAGGATTGGAAAAACCTCAGAAGTGATGGAGAGGTGGCAGATAAGTGTATTGTGAATTTGCACTGCATTTTGTGTATCTAACTCTATTGGTATTCGTAGTCCAAAAATATTTTTACTACTTGTTAAATTTTCTGTCTTTTGGTAACTTTTGTGATAACATGACCATTCAGGGATACTCTTACCTAAAAACAAACTCTCGTGCAAACCACATACAGACAAAGCTAATGCAATTCTTCTGTCTGAGAACAAAACAATGCATTTCTGCATATGCATGTGGCTGATGTGCCTTAGGATCACTACTTGTGATTGTACTATTAAGATATTAGCGTTTTTATCATTTGAATGGCCATTCCTTAACTCTAATTTAAGGGCTCTTTGCGAGCACATTCTCTCAAAAAATGTCACCCTTATCCTTTAGAATGAGGCAGTATCTGCTATTGTAAGCTTATAGTTGCCTTCACTGATCGATTAGTTTGAACATAACTAATATAATTAATGTGACGTTTCAGTTATAAGCAGTCTCATAACTGAAATCCAGCTGCTCATGGGAGTTTTGCCATTAATTGTGTGTGTGTGCGCACAAACTGATACGTAAATAGATACTTGACTGGTGGCAATGTCTAAGGGTAAAGGAGCTAAAGGACTGTGGAAAGCTGTTTAAATCCTGTCAGAAGCAAATGCTATAAGACACTAATCTGAATGAGGAGGGCAAGGGCTGTGTCAGGTTTAGATGCCTTTCCCCTGACAGCTCCTCCTGTTTTGTTACAGCTACTAAATTCTACTAAGATGTTTAGAATTGTACTAATTTTGCACTGTTTATAAGATAGTGAGATTAAAATGCCATAGGCAAGCTGGATCTTGAGAGGCGCTTGCCAAAATATATATTATGTTGTCTTAAGGACTTTTAATKTCTACTGCAAATAGCACGTACTTCCCCGAAGCAATGGGAGTGGAGAATTAAACACGAAGAGAACGTCGAGTTCAAGCTAAGCTCTGTAACGTGGCTTTAGAGTAGTGTCGAAAAAGCCTCTCTGGATGACAGGACTTTTGCCGGTCTTTGTATGCAGTTTTGTAAGTTATGACTAATTACATTGTACGTGGTTAGGTTTTTCTTGAATGATGCTYACCGTAGGATGGTTCTAACTCCGAGAGGATCTCGTTGCGCCTCGGTGTTTGATCCCTGTCGCAGCTGAGCCGCAGAGGACGCGTTTGAACCTGGAGGGGCTGCTTGGGGTATGGGCTCTGGGCACAGTCCCGCCTGTCCTGTAGAGTGCCCTGACCTCACGCGCACCCTCCTTCGGGCCTCTCTGCCCTCCCAAACTGGAATTAAGACTGCAGCACAGAGCTCAGGTCAGGAATTCCTCTAGGGAATACGGAAATAGGCGTCAAGCGCAGAGGTCGGAGCAAGCAGAGGCAGCCGGACACCTGGGCCCTTCCTCTGCACCTGCCTGGACAGTGGAACAGAGGGCGGTTTTATAAACCTTGCAAGTTGTGAAATGTACAGTGGATTTGTTTGCATAATAAGTCTTTCTGTAATCTACTGTGGTCTGATTTTAAATAAAATAGCGTATCTCTCATGGTGGACTCTGCTCAGTTTGTGTGTGGTTTCGCCCCTTAGAACTTTTGTTTTCGTTTCCTCTGATTGCTTGAAAGGGGGAAGGATCTAGAAGCTTGACGCGGAAAAGYTGAAAGGAGGAAAAAAGCCACTCTCATTTATTAATAGAAGCAAAACTTAGATTTAAACCAAGTTGTGTTAGGAGAAATGAGTCAAGCAAAGTTATTTAGAAGAATGAGTCAGAAGACAGAAGAGCCCTGATGTAATTTTCTGCACTACCTGTCACTGCACCAGCACTGGAGAAGTCCTGCTGCAGAATAACTGATGGCAATAAATGGAAGTTAAAAAAAAACAAAAATAAATCCCATTCACAAGTTCTGATCAGTGTGTGTGGTCTGGGGTGGGCTCAAAGCTGCAGAGGAGGCGACGTCTGCGCTCTGCTGCACTGAGGTCCTGCAAAGCCTCAAGAAGAGCCTCTTAGCCCTGGGGACTGGACAGCACTTCCACCTCCTCCAGGATCCACCTGCGCAGGGCAGAGGTTTCCAATGCAAAGCGGCGAGCGTGGAGCACACTGAGAGCCTGTCCTAGATCCCTCTCTAATGCTGGCTCCTGTAATGTGAGTCCTTTCAGTTGCACACTGTGCTCAAAGCCTTTGTAGGTAGCTCTGTTCCCTGCCCTGGAAAAGGGCGATACCTGCTGCTTTCCGGGCTGAATGTTCAGAAGTTTGGGCTCGGCTGAAGTTTTACAGCAGCGTCACACGGCTCTGCAGTGCCCCAGCTCACGCCTTGTCCCCTGATCCCCTCCAGACTCCCAGCCGGTCCCTGCCCATTCCCACAGCCCCCAGACCACATTGCAGATGCCAGTGCATCTGTGCAGTGTGTCCAGCTGGCAGGCCAAAGTAAACCTTGGCGTACACAGATTGCAATGTGAGTTTGTTAAGTCTGCTGCAAATTGTGAATACTTTCCAATAAATAATAAAGGTAAGGAATGGGCAGTTAAGCCTAATTTTGGTATAAAAATGACTTTACAACAGAGATGGCACTTGAAAAATGACCTTTCAGGTTATGTTTGTTTGTTTATATTTAAATTTACTGGTATATTTTTGTGAAGAGTGCGTACATGCTGACATGGAGCATTTTTACCTGTAGCCAATATTATCTATATTGATTTAGGTGAGTAAATTGCAGCGAAATAGAGCYGTGATGCTAGCCAAGGGCTTTTAAAGCTCCTTTTCCCCCTCTGCCTCTGAAGCTGTCGTATTTCAGCTCCAGCTGTGGCTGCCCTTAGAGCATGAGCTGCTGAAGGTCACGACGAAGCAGCATTATTTCCATTATGAAATCACTGCATAGGGGTCAACTAACTTATTCTCCGAGCAAATTAATACATATACCTGCTACAAAGAGCCATTAGGGACACCTGGACGAGACCCTGGGCTGTATAATCCAGCTGCTCTTGCTAGAGCAAGAGGGTGGATGAGATGCTCTCCAGCCATCCCTTCCACCCTCAGCCCTTCTGTGTGACCCAATTGCGGCAGCTGAGGGAACACAGGGAGCCGAGGAACTTCTCCAGCAGGACCTGAGCAGGCTTAACACAACCCCCTATTTTCCATTCCTACAACCTCACTTGCCCCAAGCTGGCTCCGAGCTCCTCCAGCCCCCAACACCCCCGATGCTCCAACCATGCACAACAGGAAATGTATTTTAAATATGCTGCTTTAATCGTCTACGGTGCCGTAGTAGCTCAAAGAGAAGATACAGTATTTTTCTTATACCCAAGTGTCTCTTCCAGACACAAATTCTTTATTGCTGCAGACTTCCCCACTTCTAAGATCCCATGGTTCACATAGGCCACAGTTATATTTAATTCTGCTAATTATCTTAAATATAAAGCATAATGAAACTGATCCCCTGACATCGCTGTAGTAATAAAAAACAGAAAAAAGGAAAAAAAAAAAAAACTTTGTCTCCTTATTGCCAGTGTGTGCTAGTAACTGCTCTGTTTTATTTTTTTATTTTTTTTCCCTTATAAAACTCCTGGTCCTTGCACCAGGTAAAGCGAAATTGTCCCTCTCTCCTGGAGAACCAACCCCTTGAGAAACTAAGTTAAATTATTCCTCAGGCTGCAAAGAGGATAATTTAAAAAACACAGTTGCAAGAAAAAAAAGATCAAAAATTCCCTACATTAAAAACATTTCACATTTCTTCAAAAGGCTCTGAGCGGTACAGTAGAGAGCTACATTGACTGGAAAGTCCTAGTGCTGATAAAATTAAGGAAAAAACATAAAAAGAGAAATAAGAAATCACCCCAAACCAACCCCGTATTAAATTAAGGAGGGAGAGCTGCTCCRAGAGGCCGCACGCAGGCAGACGGGCACAGCCTGCTGAGGGCCAGCGGCTGTAAAAAAGAGGGAAAAACCAACAAAATCCTGGGATTCCGGCCCAGCAGCAGCTCCAGTGGCGTCTGTTTAAAACACAGACGTAAGAGCGGGGCAGCCGGGGAGCCTCCTGCTCGGCCCCGCGGCCGGTCGCGGTGCAGCGAGGAGACCTGGGCACCCACGGTGCGGAGCCCGTCCCACAGCCTAGAAGTTTATAACGTGAGCCTGGAAGAGGTCGGCATCTTGCTCCAGCTGCAAAGAGAAGAGGATGGGGGGGGGAAACATCAATACAGAACATTTTTTTTTAATATATATATATATGTGTGTATATATATATATATATATATATATATGCATTTTTTCAGATATATACTATATTTTACGTATGGTATACTTTACACATAGCATGTACTTTATGTGCATTTTTGCACCTGCATCATACATAACACGCCTGTTTTATATAATTTTATATTTTTTTTTATAAATTACCTGTATATATCATATAAAAATATACATTACATGTACCTGTACATAGATATTAAATATACAACATTATATAATATAGACTATGTAATACAGCCAAATTTTATAATTTATTTTTATGCACATTATATTTTATAAAATATATGTATAGTTTTTATATATTGCATGTATTATATAGGTTTTTACATATATAAATTGTGGGGTTTTTTTAATATAAATCTACATATATGCATACATACACCCTCCGATGTCAGCCGTGCTGCCGGCCCTACCTGGTCCTGCTTCTGCGGGTGCCCGGGTTTCTGGGCCAGCGGCGGCTTCTTGAGGATGCCGCGCCGCGGCGCCGGCGCCGGTGCCGGTACCGGCCGGGCCTCGGCGTCCTCGGGCTCGCCGCAGGGCCCGGCCAGCGCGTAGTGCCGCCGCCGCAGCTCGCCCAGGCGCCGGCGCTCGCCCTCCAGCTGCTTCTCCAGCTCCAGCACCTTCACCTGCGCCTCCATCTCCTCCTTCTTCAGCTTGATGAGGGACATGCCCGAGAAGTCCATGGTGTCTGYGGGGACGAGGCGCTGGGCGGCACGGCCACGGGCGACGGCGCCGTTTTCCCCCTGCAAACCCACATCCCCCTCCTCACCTTTCTCCTCGATCTGCTCCTGGCCCGAGCGCGTGGAGGCCACCACGTTGGCRGCCATCTCGTTGACGCCGCGCGAGCATTCCTGCAGCTTGCCCAGGTTCCGGCTGCTCTTGTCGGCCTTCACCTGCGCCAAGCATGGAGCCCCGTGTCACCGCGCGGCCCCGGGGCCCCCGGCGGCCGCCAGCGCGGCGGGGCGGGCGGCGCTACCTTGGAGGCAGCCACGAGCTGCGCCGTGCTGGCGGCGATCTCATGCGAGCACACGATGAGCTCCTCGTACTTGCCCGTGCGCAGCACCACGCGGTCGGCCGCGTCCCTGCGGGGTGGGACAGCGAGCGCCATGGTCATGGGTTCAGGCCTGCCATGGCGGCCTCCTCCATGGCCGCCCGCACCGCGGAGCCGTGCGGCCGGTACCTACACGAGCTGCGTGGCGCCCCAGCCCACCGCCTTGGCGGCCGAGATGAGCCCCTCCGTCCAGCGCGAGTTCTTGGCGTAAAACTCCTGCGTCGTTGCTGCCCCCTGTCGTCACGAGAGCATTAAGGCCCGGCCACCAGGCCTTTCATGGGCAAAAGTTCCAAAGATCCGCAAATATAACCATGAACGCATTAAAAACAGACTTGGAGCAGGCTAGTTCTAGTGGTGGGTGGGTTGGAGGTCCCACAAGATGTTCTGGGCTGCTGTGGTCTGAACTCGCAGCACAAGCAATGACTTTCCAAAGCCAAAAGACTGGGAAAATGGAGCTATAAATCAACGTCAGTGGTGTGTTTCAGCACTCTACGAGCTGCCTGTACTGGTCTGCTGAAATTTGGGTTGGAAAGTCTTGATTTAGAGCCTCCGTTTCTGCCAGCTTGGTTTAAAGCAAGCAGGACTTTTGGCCGGCATCTTGAAACGGACAAAATTCAGTAAATGCAAGAGTGGGAGCTGCTCAGCATGGAGCTACGTGTCCTCATTGCGGTTGTTTCCCACATTATCATTAACACCAGAGAGTGTGAAACCAGCTAAGGTTTCTGCAAGTTGTGCAAAATACTCCCCCACTTCAGAGCAGAGCACAGGGAAGAGCAGAGGAGCAGACTTACCCGGCCGCTTTCCACTATCTCCTTCTGCAAGTTTGTGGATGTCATGACAAGAAGCCGAATTGCCTGGATCAACAAAACAGGGGTTCTCGTGTTTGATAGGGGTGTTACACCAACGGGTTGATCTTGCCAGCGGCGATGAGTCAGAGTTTTGCACAGTTTTTTTGACAAGCCCAGTATCCGCAGCACTGACCTTCATGAGTTCCGTGCAGGAGTTTAGGATCCTGCAGGAAAAGAAGAGAAGAGTATTTAGTATTTACAGACGGCAACAGAGAAGGAGAAGCCATGGCCAATTGGCTTAGCTATTCAGCATCAAGAAAATGCAGGAGGTACCAGGTGAGACTTCAACAGACCAGCAGGTGTGATAAGGACACACTTTTACAGCCACCATGCAAGGAACAGGCTGCACAAACACAATGTGCCAGTGCTCTTTTATGGCCACGCACRTAAGGGTGTTGCAGGTTGGCCACATACGCCCGTCTCAACCCTCTTCGCTCACCTCTCATTCACCTCGAGCTGGACACCGGAGCTCTTGTTCCGGGCCTGACTCATCATCTCCTGTGGAGAAAGGCAAGAGGAAACGCTCAACACCACGTCACAGCATTAACTAGGCTCACTAGAGACAGAAAAGGAGACCAGAGGATAAACAGATTTTTTGCTCCCCTGGGCTCATTGTTTTGTATGATCTGAAACATCTCAGACCAGTGTCACGGATAGGCACCATAAATCACCAGGGTTAATGCACCAGCCCAGCAACCTCCTCTCACCTCTATCCGCCTGACGGCATCTTCAATAGCTGCTGAGGTAGAGGCCATCTCCTTCTCAACCATGTCCCCCAGCTCCTCTTGCTTGATGTCCAAGCTCTTGGGCCTCAGCTCCTGGCAAAGCGGGCAGGAGACAGCAATGAGCAGAGGGAGAGAAGAGTGGTAACGAGGAACCAAACCCACACGAGGTATTAGACTCTTCTCTTCCTCCTCAGTAAATAACCCAAATGCAGAACCAATGTTCTGCAGCCAGCTGTGACACAGCAGGTCTACCACCAYGGTGGGGCAGGTACAGACCTGAGAGATACAAAGTGTGCAGCTCTCTAGAGGACTCAGGAGAGCTGCTAGTTCTAAATTTTAATRGTTTTTTATGGAAAAGACTACTAGGCTCTGAAAGTTGGGCAGTTTTATGCTGTGGTTRTTAAGGCCGGTACCTGGGCCAGCCGGAGGATGCCCTGGAGCGCCGCCCGCACGCCGCCCAGCTCGGCCCCGCTCAGCGACTGCTCGTCCTCCAGCTCGCCCAGGTAGTCGAGGCTGCGCTGGCCGCAGTCGCGGCAGGTCTCGGTCAGCCCTGGGAAGAGGGAAGGAGGAAGGATGGACATCCTGGAGCGCCGGCGGTGCGGGGCGCTCCCACGCGGCGCCGCGACGGAGAGCGAGCTCCAGCRGGCGCTTCCCACTCACGGTCGGCGCGGTCCGGGGGAGCCAGGCGGGCCGTGGCGCTGCCGTTGACGATGGTGTCGGCAGCGAGGTGGGAGAAGAGGGCCAAGGCGCCCACCAGCCCGGCAGCATCTGCCCCAGGGGAACAGCCCCAAAGCAGAGCGAGGGGTGAGAACGGCGGCTCCGATGCCCGGCGCCATCCCAAGGGACGCGACTGCGGGGACGGGGGGACGCACCTGCGGCGGCGGCCACGTAGCGCGCGTGGCCCTGCTCCAGCGCCACGGTGGACTCCAGTGCGGCCTGCGCCCGGCTCAGCAGGTAGTCTGCAAGGACACGGGGACGCAGGAAGGGGCTTCAGGCCGCCCGGGCGCTGCGGAGGGCAACGCGCCAGGGCYGGAGCGGCCGCCTCACCTGGCGAGCTGGTGCAGCGGATGTGCAGCGGGTCGTCCAGCTTGGCGAGCGCGTCCCGCACCACGGCCGCCGCCTCGCGCACGGCCGCCCGCAGGACGCCGAGCTGCTCGTCCAGCAGCTTCTGCTGCAGCCGCTGCTCCTGGGCACTCTGTGGGGCGTCACGAGCGGCGTGAGGAGAGCGCGGGCGCCCCTGCGCCGCGCCGGAGGCTGGGGCACGCGCTGGGTCCCACCTGCTCCTGCAGCCGCCCGTGCAGCGCGCGCAGCTCGCCGGCGGCGCGCTCGGCCTCGCGGCTCCGCTGCAGCTCGTGCTCTCGGAGCAGCCCCTGCGCCGCCAGCAGCTCACGCTCCGTCTCGCCCGCCGCGCGCCGCAGCTGCTCCTTCTCCTCCTGCAGGGCCTCCACGCGGGCACCCAGCTCCGAGCCCGCCTGCAGGGACACACGTCAGGCTCATGTCCCCCACGTCAGCACAAGCCACAGGCTGAGGCCGTGGCCGCTCGTGCCGCCGCCTACCTGCTTGGCCTGGCTGAGGCACTGCTGGGCCTGGCTCAGCTCGTCCTTGCGCTCCTCCAGCTCCTGCCGCAGCTGCTCCAGCTGCAGGCTCTGGTCTTCCAGCTGCAAGTGTGCGGCGGCACACGGGGCTGAGTGGGCACCCAAGAGCAGCGCCGCGGCCGCGTGCCCCGTCCCACTTCCCAGGGGGAAGACTCCGCGCTCACCTTCATCTCGGACTCGCGCTTCACCTGCTCCACCTGGAAGGCCAGCTGCTCCTTGACGCGCGCCACCTCCTCCTGGCTCTGCTGCGTCACCGTCAGCTGCTTGGCCGTGTCGGCGTTCTGCGGGGGACACCCGTCACCGGCCGCGCGCCCGGAGGGGGAAGCCGCCCCGCGCCTCCTTGCAGCCCAGCGCTGGCCACGGGTGGGCAGAGGGGGCAGGAAGGGACCCCGAGGCTCAGGYGGGACGCGCAGGGGTCACCCGATGGGACGGCGGGAGCAGGGTGGCACGGCGCTACCTTCCTCAGCAGCTCGGCGTGCGTGTTGACGAGCTCGCTGTGCTTCTCCTTCAGCTTGGTGTAACGCGCCTCCGTGGCGCTGGCCTTCCCTGCGGGTCCGGCCCGGTGTCAGCGGCGCCGCTCACCCCGAAACGCGTCCCCTCTCTGTCCCCACCTACGTTCAGCCTCCAGGTAGAGGCGCTGCGAGCGCTCGCCGTCCTGCTTGGCCCGCTGCAGCCGCTCCAGCTCGTCCCGCAGCTGCTCGTTGTCCACCAGAGCCTTCTGCTTCTGCTTGCGCTGCTCCTCCGCCTCGCCCTCGAGCCCGTTCACCTGCGCCTTGAGCTGCGTCACGTAGCGCTGCGCCTGCGCCGGCACMCGCCGTCAGGGCCCCCACGCGGGCACGAGATGTGCTGCGACCCCCTGCCGCCCGCGCCACCGGCGCCTTGGCTTCACCTCCAGTTTGATTTTCTCCATCTCGGCACGGAGCAGCTCCACCTCCTTCTTCAGGCTCTCGATCTGCGCGTCCCTGCCGGGAGAGGCGGGTTGGGCGCCACGGCCGGCCGCCCGCCCCGGCTCCCGACGGCCTCGCGTACCTGTCGTCACGGAGGCCGTTGGGCGGCCCGAAGGTTTGCTCGAATATGTCCGAGGTGACCTGAAGAGGGGAGAAGGTGACAGGTAAGTCCCATGTCACTTGGGTCACGTTAAGCAGGTCCCACCACCTTGGTCCCACTGTTGGTCCCACCATCCCACTACCTGGAACCAACTACACAGGTCCCAGCACRGATCCCACCACAGAATCACAGAATGGTTGAGGTTGGAAGGGACCTCTAGAGATCACCTAGTCCAACCCCCCTGCTCCAGCAGGGACAYGCAGAGCATGTGGCACAGGATGGCATCCAGGTGGGTTTTGAAGACCTCCAGAGCAGGAGACTCCACAGCCTCCCTGGGCAGCCTGTTCCRCTGCTCTGTCACCCTCACAGGAAAGAAGTTCCTCCTCACCTGGAGATGGAACTGCCTGTGTTTCAAGAACCACCCAGGTCCCACTGCCCCTATTCTCACCACCCAGGTCCCACTGTGGATCCCCCCACCCAGGTCCCACTCCCCACATCCCACCGGCTGCTCCACAGTGGTGGCTGTGCCGATCTCGATGAGCGTCTCCGGCTCCTCGTCCTCGGGAGCCTCTTCAGGGATGACGACCACCGGCTTCACGTGCTCGGCCAGCGCGGAGGCTCGCAGGAAGTTGGGGGGGCTCTGCGGGAAGGGGGGACACGGCGGTGTCCCCTCGGTGTCCAGGGGCCTCTCCCACCCRCCCCGTGGGTTACGGTCCCACCAGGAACGCTGCTGGTACCTCCGGCAGCCGGGGGATCTGGATGAGCCGCTTGAAGTACAGCATGTCGGACGCCCGCTTGAAGAAGTTCTTGAGGCTGGAGAGGAGCGGGGAGGAGAAGGAGAAACGCCGTCAGCACCGGGGYGGGAGCGGGGGGAGCCGGGCGCCCCGTCCCGCGGCGCCGGTACCTGCGGAACTGCTCATGGAAGCGGTCCCGGTGGCCCTGCAGCGTGTCGGCCGGCAGACCTGCGGGAGCGGGCACATCCCACGTGAGGCGGGCATCGGCCGCGGCATCCCCGCGGGCACGACGCCGGCTTTCATTTGTTGGGAATTGCACGGGGCGATCCCAAAGGAGAGGCCCTGGTTGCCCCCGGGGGGATCGCTGGTGCTCGCAGTGGGGTCCCTGCCCCGCGGTGGGGTCTGCAGCAAGGAAGGGGCATCGCAACCTGCTGCGCACAGGGCCCGGCCCGTGCGGGACTCACACGAGTGCAGCTTGAACATGAGCTTGACCGCGTAGTGGTAGAGGTGGCTGCAGTCCTGGATCACCTGGATGAGCGGGGCCAGGCGGCACTGCACGGCCGACATCTGCGACACGGCCACGGCGGCGCTCAGCTGCCGGAACACTGCGGCCGCAGCGGCCACTGCGTTAGCCAAGGAGGCAGCAGCTCCCCCGGGGCTCCGGCAGCGCCTCCGAGGCGGATTCGCTCGCGGAAAGCGGCAGCGCCTCCCGCGAGGCGGAGCAGGAAGCGCCGCGGCTGCAACCCCATTCCCGGCCAAAGAGCGAAACTGTTGCTCAAGCGCCCGCGCCGCCTCACCCGACTCCGACAGCTTCAGCTCCCAGTCCAGGTAGTCGAACAGCTCCACCGTCAGCTGGAAGCTGCGGGACAAACAACCCCGTCACGGCCGCCTGTTCTCCCCCTCGCCCGGGCCTTCTTTCCACCCACGCATGCAGAGGACGCGTCAGGTTTCCAAGTGTTTCCCAGCTCTTTGCCACAGGCCCCATCCCCAAGGATGCTGCAATTTGCAGCTCCGCATGGCAAAAAGCCTCTGAAAAATCCAGCGTGGGGTTCGTGCCCCTGGACACGGAGGGGCTGGGGTGCCCGGTGCACCACGCGCCTCCGCCCCGGCTCACATGTTATTCACGTCGGTGCCGGCCGTCTTCTCCAGCACCTCATCCGTCACCTCGAGGCCCGGCGGGAACTCGGGGTGCTTGCAAGAAAGACACAGAAAAACGCAGAAGGAGGGTGGTGTTTTGGGACACGACGCCCCGCGCCACCRTCTGCAGCTCCACGAGCACCCTGGGGTGCAGGAGAAGAGGCAGGGCCGCCACGTGCCCTACCTTGATGTGGAAGGAGATCTTGGTGAGGAGCAGGCGGGCGTAGATGTTCACCAGCTGCCCGTACCGGTCGTGCAGGTGGCCCTGGGGCAGCGAGAGCGCGGACGCTGCTCAGTCGCTACCCCAAAAGCCCCAAACCCCTCCAGGACCAGGTGCCCTCTTCCAAAAACTTGCAAAGAAAAGAGCTGCGGAGCATCCGGAGAGCCCTCCCTTACCCACAGGTCTCCAGTCTCCCGGATGTTGCTCCGATACCTCTGGCAATCCTGCAGGACCTGTGGACAACGTGGGCAGATGCAACACGTGGGGCAGGCTCCAGCGCCTCCCCGCTACCCAAAGGACAGGGATTTTCCTGTCCTTCCTCCCAGAGCCATCCGCAATCCCAGGCTTTGGCGGCGCCGGGGACACTCACGTTGGGGTGGCCATCACGCAGCACCTTGTGCAGGACATGGCAGAACTTCCAGCTGAGGATGGCGCTGCTGGGCAGCGGCAGCCCGATGGCGTAGGACCAGAAGGTGAAGGCGCCTTTCTCATGGTGCGTCCCCAAGATGATCCCTGCTTGCTAGTCAAGGCCCGTGGCAGATGCCGGAGAGCGGGATGCGCCAGCCACCACGCGGCACCACCGCGCGCACAGACCCTCCTCTCCCGGGGACAGCGGGGACAGACACTATCCCTCCCAAACTGGCAGTAAAAGGGGTCGTAGCAGCCTGCGGGATGCTGCACCTGCAGCTATTCCACCTCTTCCATCTATTTCTCCTTCCACCCGTTCTCTGGTTGCCCCACGTTCCCCTCCAGCACCGACCCGCTCCCCCGGCGGGTGTCACCTACACGSGCTCGCGACGGCCCCGTGCGCGCTGGCACGGACGTGGCACGTCCACGGGGCGCTGGYGGCGCGCGGGAAGGATACGGCGGGCGTGCTTCTCCTTGACGGGCGCCTCCTGCGTGTTGATGGCTTTGCTGATGCTGATGGCCTGCGGGGACAGCGGCCCTCAGCAGCCCCACTCCCGTGCTCTGGATGTCCCCGTTCCACAGCGTCACTTCCCCCCCACCCGCGTTCTCCTGGACAAATTTCAGGAAAACAGGAGCCTCCAGGCGAGACTGGATCTGGCACCAGCGGCCAGGATTCCGGTGGCGCTTTCCCATCATCGCCCCACGCTCCAGGTTTATGGCACAGTGACCCAGCTCCAGGGCTTCCGGCAAGGCCCCGGAGCCCCACATGGACGTTTGTCCGGATAGCGACCCGCAGAAGCCAGCCCTAGGGCCAACGTTGGGGGACAGAGCGGAGAGGAGCATCCCTGTCCCATCTCCATCCTCTCTGCATCCCACAGCCCCATCGGCATCCCCGTCCATGGCCCTGGGACCGTGCTGGTGCCCTCTCCATCGAATTCCAGGCACCAAGCTGAGCTATCAGGGAGCTGCTTTTCCCCACGGACATTTCAGGTGAGCTGGAGCGGGGACAGCGCGTGGTCGCACAGCTGCGGAGCCTCATCCCACTTCCGCGGGCACCGGAGCGGGACAGGCGCCGGGCTGGGCAGAGCCTCGCGTACCAACCCGGTGACTAAAGCGGGGAGCAGAGCGCCCAAGGGCAGCCGGGCGGCTGCCACCCACCCTCCTGCCTGGGCTGCTTGTAATTACGGCGGCAGCGTTTCCACCCACGTCCCCCAGCCGCCCGGACCTCGACGCTCCCGCTCCCAAAGACACCTCCAGCAAAACGGAGGAAAAGGAAGAGACCTGGGAAACGTCCAAGCCGCGAGGCTGGGCTCCAGTGGCCCCTCTCAGCCCGGCTCCAGAGCTGGTGCCGCCCTTGGGAGCCAAGGGATGGGGCGGCCGGTTGAGGCCTCCCGGTGCTGGCCTGTGGCCACCACTGCTGTGATTAGTTGGCCACAAGAGGCACTTGGCCTGGGTGAGGAGGCCCTGATGCTGGGGCGGTTTCATCATAGGAACCCGCGTCCCAGCAAGGCTCCCATAGGAGGTTTCGGAGCAGGAGAAGGGAGCAGCTTGGGGTGGCAAACAGGACTGCGGAGCAGCAACCCCAGGGCTCTGCTCCGGCCCAGAGGACACGGGACCCTCAGGTAGCTCCGTGCTCCTGTCCCCTTTCCTCAGCCGCGGGAATGAACTGACCCCAAAAGACAACCCCAAAAGGCACCAGAGGCAAAAGCCGCCCGCGGCCTCTCATGCGCCCGCACAGCGCTGAGGACACGATTAATTATCAGCACTGCCCGGCCGGCCGGAGGAGACGCGTCCAGCAGGAACCGGAATTGCCAGTTTGCGTTGGTCGCTCCCCAAACCAGCGATCGCTGTTTCCTACGTGGGGCAGCCGTGGGGCACCTTGATCCCCCGAGGCCGGGATCCCGCCTGGCTCTGCCAGGACTTCGCAGGAAAAGGCAGCAGCGGCCGAGCAGGGTGTTTTTATAGGAAGTTTAGGACAGCATGGAGCCCATGTGCTTCCCAAGGGAAAAACACGGCCAGGGAGAGACGCGGGGAAGTGCCAGGGCTGGGACAACCTGGGCCGGTGTCTGCACCTCCGCGGGCCGGGACGCCGGTTCCCTCCGGTGTCACGGCGCGGTTCGGCTCCCGGCGGGATGCGCGAGCGGCCCGGGGGGCTGCCCGGGGCCGGGGCCGGCGCGGGGCGCAACCGGAGCTGCCGCAGCGGGGCCGGGACGGCCGCGGGGAGCAGC